GTGTGTCTGTGTGTCTGTGTGTCTGTGTGTCTGTGTGTCTGTGTGTCCGTGTGTCTGTGTGTCCGTGTGTCTGTGTGTCTGTGTGTCTGTGTGTCTGTGTGTCTGTGTGTCTGTGTGTCTGTGTGTCTGTGTGTCTGTGTGTCTGTGTGTCTGTGTGCCTGTGTGTCTGTGTGTCTGTGTGTCTGTGTGTCTGTGTGTCTGTGTGTCTGTGTGTCTGTGTGTGTGTGTGTGTCTCTGTGTGTGTGTGTGTGTGTGTGTCTGTCTGTGTGTCTGTGTGCGTGTTTGGGTGTGTGTGTGTGTGTGTGTGTGTGTCTGTGTGTGTGTGTGTGTGTCTCTGTGTGTGTCTCTGTGTGTGTGTCTCTGTGTGTGTGTGTGTGTCTGTGTCTGTGTCTGCGTCTGCGTCTGCGTCTGCATCTGCGTCTGCGTCTGTGTCTGTGTTTGTGTGTGTGTGTGTGTGTCCCTCTGTCTCTGTGCGTGTGTGTGTGTGTGTGTGTCCCTCTGTGTGTGTGTGTGTGTGTGTGTGTGTGTGTGTGTGTGTGTGTGTGTGTGTGTGTGTGTGTGTGTGTGTGTGTGTGTGTGTGTGTGTGTGTGTCTGTGTGTGTCTGTGTGTGTCTGTGTGTGTCCCTGTGTGTCCCTGTGTGTCCCTGTGTGTCCCTGTGTGTCGCTGTGTGTCCCTGTGTGTCCCTGTGTGTCCCTGTGTGTCCCTCTGTGTGTGTGTGTGTGTGAAAAAGTGTGTCTGTGTGTCTGTGTGTGTGTGTGTCTGTGTGTCTGTGTGTCTGTGTGTCTGTGTGTCTGTGTGTCTGTGTGTCTGTGTGTCTGTGTGTCTGTGTGTCTGTGTGTCTGTGTGTCTGTGTGTCTGTGTGTCTGTGTGTCTGTGTGTCTGTGTGTCTGTGGGTCTGTGGGTCTGTGTGTCGTGTGTGTCTGTGTGTTGTGTGTGTGGTGTGTGTGTGTGCGTGTGTGCGCTGTGTGTGTGTGTGTGTGGTGTGTGTGTGTGTGTGTGTGTGTGTGTGTCTGTTGTGTGTGTGTCTCGTGTGTGTGTTGTGTGTGTGTCTCTGTGTGTGTGTGTCTGTGTGTGGTTGTGTGTCTGTGTGTTTGTGTGTGTCCCTCTGTCTGTCTGTCTCTGTGTGTGTGTGTGTGTGTGTGTGTGTCTGTGTGTCTGTGTGTCTGTGTGTGTCTGTGTGTGTCCCTGTGTGCCCCTGTGTGTCCCCCTGTGTGTGTGTGTGTGTGTCTGTGTGTCTGTGTGTCTGTGTGTCTGTGTGTCTGTGTGTCTGTGTGTCTGTGTGTGTGTGTGTCTGTGTGTGTCTGTGTGTGTCTGTTTGTGTGTCTGTGTGTGTGTGTGTGTCTGTGTGTGTCTTTGTGTCTGTGTGTGTCTGTGTGTGTCCCTCTGTGTGTGTGTGTGTGTCTGTGTGTGTCTGTGTGTGTCTCTGTGTGTGTCTGTGTGTGTGTCTGTGTGTGTCTGTGTGTGTGTGTGTGTGTGTGTGTGTGTGTGTGTCTGTGTGTGTCCCTCTGTGCGTGTGTGTGTGTGTGTGTGTGTGTGTGTGTGTGTGTCCACGCTCTCTGGGGGGAACTGGATGGTGTCGAGCCAGGTGCCTTTCTCAAAGCTGCACAGTATTCCGCAGCCATGTGTGAGTGGGAGCATGTTGGCGGTGATCTAGTCTAGGCTTGTGGTTTTGCACAATCTGAGAGACTCCGCTGACTCTGGCAAAGCCTTGCAGGTGCGCTACCTTCTGCTGATCTGGAGGCCATGGACAGTCCACCACGGTTAACGTGCGTGAGAGCCATCTGAGTTAAGCCTGAAGGCCTGAAGGCGCTTCGTTCTGAAAGCCATGTCTTCCGACTCAGGCATCATCACCAGCATGTCTTTGCCGAAGGCCTGGTGCAAGGAGAATCAGAATTCAATGGACACACGGACAACAACCAGGTGTTCAGGTTGCTAAGCTAGGTAGGCTCATATTCTGAAATATTTTTAGGCAGGGCCATCCTAGTGAAAATAGCAGCGTGCAAAGAGCCCACTGTGCCAGGCTGGGAGACCGTGCGGCAAGAGCTGTCGCGGGTGCGCCGAGCGAGTGTCGGATAGAGGGGTTCAAATAGGGGCACCCTTTTTGTGGGTCCCTTCAAGGGGGGTATATTCTCTTTGGGGTTTAAACCGGGGTACCCCTGTTTTTGGGCAATGCCCATATGCGCCTCACAGCTGTGAAGAGGGCATCCACTGCATTACAGGCCATGGCCTGTCCTCTCGCTGTCATGTGAGACATGTACCGAGCATCTACAGCCATCGCTGGGTCTGCATAGTACCCGTGCCTGAAGCTTTTTCTCAAGAGGTCTACGCGCAGTTCTACGGGGCGCTGATTGGCGGCCTTGTCGTTGCAAACGACTCAGCATGCGGTGCGAAATCGACCTAGCAGTGCGGTTTCGACGCAGCGCACAGCTTCGGCTTCAGCACATTCTCCAGCTGTGACACGGAAGCCGACGGAAGCCACACAGCCAAGATCTTCATAGCTTCAGACTACCTGGACATCGTGGCGCTCGCGATGCAGGTGCACTCTTACTCAAGTTTCCCGTAAACCCTAAACCCTAAACCCTAAACCCTAAACCCTCAACTTACACGTAATTGAGAAACTCCGTTTTGGTAGCTGACCTACTCCCGTCCAGGCTTACTGGGTGCCGCAAATCATCCATGATGCCTGGCACTAGGAGGGCACTCGCAGCGCTCCCAAAAAAGCGGCTCCAGTATGATTTCTGGTTTAAGGACTTGATTGTTAGGGTTTAGGGTTTAGGGTTTAGGGTTTAGGGTTTAGGGTTTAGGGTTTAGGGTTTAGGGTTTAGGGTTTAGGGTTTAGGGTTTAGGGTTTAGGGTTTAGGGTTTAGGGTTTAGGGTTTTTCTGACTCAGCAGACTCAGCATCTGGTGTTTCAGCTGCACCAATGGTGGCTTATTTCAGGTCAGGCACGGCTCCAAGAATTCGTTCACGCCACTCGGCTCTGAAAGCATGGCTAAGCTGGACAGAGCTAAACTAGAGAGCACCATTTTCTGTGTTTGCAGATGTGGTGTGTGGTGCTGGTTCCTCATATTTGGTACACGTCGGCTTCGCTCCTGTCATATTTACAAGAGGGTGCGGTTGCTCACATAATAATTAGTTAGTAGGTATTACACCAATAATGGTAGTAATAATAATTGTAATAATAATAGTAAGAATAATGGTAATAATAATCATAATCATAATCATAATCATAATAGTAATAGTAGTAGTAATAATAATAGCAAGTAGTAATAACATCGTTCAACGAGGCGCCGGTTCATCATCACGATTGCGGCTGCGGCCTCTGACCATGATGCCTCTGGAAGTGCAAGAGTTGGGATGTTCAGCCCCCTATACTAACAGTTCTTAACAGAGATTATAGGACCCCCTTGTTATAATAGTAAGAAAGAATAGTAACAGGGATTCTAGTACCCCCTATTATGATCCCTATAAACGACTGTTGGTATAAGGGGGGGGGGAACATCCCAAACCCTAAGCCCTAAGCCCTAAGCGCCCTAAGCCCTGAGCCCTAAACCCTCATTTTCCAAGGCCACTCGCACTTTGGAGTTCCTCTACCTTTGGGGATGTCCTGCAGGCCGAGCAAACACGCGAGGGGGGAGGGGGGGAGGAGAGAGTTCGTTGCCCTTTGGGGATGCACGATATCATTGCATGATCATTTCAGTTATGACATGATATGATATTCGATCAGATGATCGTCTACTTTACTGTATGATGTTCCTATATTCGTATTAGGACAACGAGTGGAAAGCAAGCGGTTCTCTCATGGTTCGCCTTATGCTGCAAGGCATCTTCAACGGCGACATCTACCCACAACTACCTGGGGCTCAGTCGCCTGCATCCTCAGTAACAAGAACGTGGGGGGGGGGGGGGGGGGGCGACCGGTGTGCAAGAGCTAAGGGTTTAGGGTTTAGGGTTTAGGGCCCTGTATCGTTGATCAACATGACCCAAGCTGTAGATGAACCCTCCTCTCCAGCGGTCAGAGCTTCCATCTCCGAAATGCACGCTTCTTCAGAGCCTAAACCCTAAAACCCTTTAAAAAAATCCTTATAAGCCCTTTAAAAAAACCCTCAAAAACCCTAAACAACCCATAAACACCCTAAAAAGACTCTTAAAACACCCTAAAAAGTCCTAAAAAACCCTAAACCCTGAAACCCTAAAACCCTAAAAACCCTAGAACCCCAAAACCCTAAACCCCAAAACCCTAAAGCCCTAAAACCCTCTAGAACCTAAACAAAAGCCCTAAAACCCTGAAAAGCCCTAAACCCTCAAAAGCCTTCTAAAACCCGAAACAAAAAAACCCTAAAACCCTAAAAAGCCCTAAACCCTAAAAAACCCTAAACAAAAACCCTAAAACCCTAAAAAGCCCTAAACCCTAAAAAGCCCTGTAAAACACCAAACAAAACCCTAAGAAGCCCCAAGCCCCAACACAAAACCCCTAAACCCTTTGAGGTTTCAGCTCTGCTCTGCGGCGATTTGCCTCCAGGCAGCGCAGGCGGGGATATAGGGGGGGGGGGGGGGGGGGGGGAATAATTACTACTAGGTTTCCCTTATGGTCCCTGTATAAATTAATCTATATATATATACATATGTATATATATATATATATATATATTTTTTTCTATATTATACTGCTATCATGCCCCCAAAACCCTGTTCTAATTATTAAAGCCCCTGGATTGATCCTTTTTTTTTGACTGCGCTGGCAAACTATGTGCTTATGGAGGCTTGGTGGCATCTTCCCCCAAACCCCACTTAGGCTGCACGTCTGGTTCTGGGTTTCGGGTTTAGGGTTTAGGGCTTAGGGCTTAGGGCTTAGGGCTTAGGGCTTAGGGCTTAGGGCTTAGGGCTTAGGGTTTAGGGTTTAGGTGGGTGTGCGGTTGCCAGGTGGCTGTGATGATTTCGCAACAACGGCTTGGGCCCAGGCATGCCCCACGTCAACGCGTTTAATGACGGAAGCAGTGGCTGCATGCATGCCTGCCTGTTCTCACAATCGTGCAGTTGCAAGTGCTTGAGCATGGCAGCCCCGAAACCTTTAGGGTTTAGGGTTTAGGGTTTAGGGTTTAGGGTTTCAGATTCGTTGTGCGCAGGTGGTTCGTGCCATGGCTTTGCCTACCGCACGTGTACAACTACCGTCGGACGGCGCAGGCTATCTTGGATGTTCGCTCCAATACTACGCAAGAATCACTTCAAAAGACAAAGCCACCTTTGCATACAGGAAAGGCTTAGCGCAGCCAGCCAAGGGTTGATAGGTCCGATAGATACTGGTCATCTAGGACGGACTGGAGAGTTCATGGCGCAGCTACGCCAGGCTGTTGCCGGATCGGAGTGTGTCATCTGCATGCTGGAAATCACGCCCGAGGAATCGTTCAACTGGGCGGGCGAATCACGGAGAGCTCCAAAGTCTTCGCAGTCGTGCTGTAGGCACCAACAAGCACCCCAATTGCAAGCAAAATGAATTTGGAAACAGTTGAGATCATCTACGACACTTCGTGACAAGCGAGAGACCACCTTCTCGTCACTAAATCCGCTGCATCCCCGGTCCATGCCCGCCAGGACGGCTCTCACATCGTAACCACTCCGTGCGACCACCGCTTTCACGACTCGTGCTTGGAGAGGCCAGCGCTTCAACTGCAACGGGGTGATGCGTTCTATGACTGAGCCTAAACCCTAAACCCCAAACCCGAACCCTAAACCCCAAACCATAAACCCTAAACCCTAAACCCTATGCTTACTGGCAGTTCCAAGAGGAGCACTGCACGCTTCTCTTCTCACACTGGCAGGTGGATGGATGTGAAGATGGAGTGCCCCACATGCCGGAGAACCTTGCCTCCCATGTGAGCTCACTTCTGGGCACATCGTCATGGTGGAGGAGCAGCCCCTGAACACTTAAGCCCCTGAACACTTAAGCCCCTAGTTCCCTAAACCCGTAAACCCCTAAACCTGCTTTGTCTAAGAGATTCTGACAGAGCTTCCCAACTAGGCGCAGGGAGCCCTGCGCAACGATCTGGGCAAAGTCCCAGACCTGAAACACTGTGGTGGCAGTCAAAAAAGGCCAAGAGGGCTCGGCACAGGCTTACGTAAATTCTGTATAAGACAAATAAACTTTATCTGATGTAGTAGAGAGTAATGCAAATGCATATTGCGTAGCACATTATGTCGAAAGCAATCCAAGCCCCGATGCCCCAATCATCAGTCCCTAGCCGAGAGGTTACTTTTGGGCCATGCTATGCTCAGGGATGACTGGGTAAAAACATGGCAGACGTCAGCGTATGGACCAGCACTAGTCTCCGAAGTTGTCAGCATAGCATGCTGCACAAGCGGACGAGCCGTGAAAAAATACCAGAACCCCCAAAAAGAAATCAGGGTCTTCACATAGGTGCAGGGTGGGCTGCTTGAAGTGTTGAAGTTGCTGTTGGGGTATCTGACGCATGCAATCCGTGCTCTGTCTGCAGCTTGGCTCATGTGCTACATGCATTTAGCAAAACCTAATCGCAGGCATGGTATGCCTCGGAAAACTGTTTCTTTGGTGCTAGGACAATTGGGGGTTTCCGAAAATAGGGGTACCTTTTGGGGTCCTGATTATAAGGGAACCCTACTATCTGGGGTTTATATTAAGGGTCCCGTATTTTCGTAAACCCCCATTCGCCCTGAAGCAAGAACCCTGTGCATCGCCACATAGAGCCATCGATACGTTGGGAGCTGTCTGCTTGTCGCAGAATGGTACTCCGCAGGCCACAGAAGAAACTACATATGTAATATGAACTACATATCTATATATATATATATATTTATTTATTTATTTATATTTATATAGTGAAAAGGTGCATAGTTCTACACAATTTGCGGTATAATGCAGAGAAGGTATAATATGTATTATGTATTACGGAATATATGTTACATGATATGTATACATCTACATATGTATTATGTATATATATATATATAACATTCATGTCGTTTTCAATCTGCATGTGTATATTTTGTAGCTGTGACCTGTCGCTCTGAGTCAGAGTGAAGAGTCCAGGAGTCCAGCCCCAATTGACCGCTTGACGTTTCACTCTGCACCTGACGCGAGGTCGAAGCGCGAAGGCCTGCCTGCGGTGGGGTTTAGGGTTTGGGGTTTGGGGTTTAGGGTTTAGGTTTTAGGGGACCAAGGTTTCAATGCCGATGTAGTGTTTGCAGTTCCCGCTTGCCGTCCCTTCCTTCCTTCCCAACGCAACAGATGCAATGACATAGCCTAAACCGTAAACCCTAAAACCTACAAAAGGCCTTGGAGGACTGCCTGTCGCCAGAGCCTCAGCAGACGTGGGCGCTGCATGCTGGTTGAGCTGTCATCTTTCCCAGCAACGACTGCTTCATGCCACCCCTGCGGCTGCGGGGCTGGGCCGTAAGGGCGAAAGTGCCCACGGCTATAATGTGGTCTTCAGCCCTAAACCCCCAACAAAATGCCCCCCCCTAGCTAAACCCTTAAGCCCTTGAGCCTTAAACCCTAAACCCTAAACCCTAAACCCTAAACCCTAAACCCTAAACCCTAAACCCTAAGCCCTAAGCCCTAAGCCCTAAGCCCTAAGCCCTAAGCCTCCAACGCCCAAGCTCAGGCAGATGGGGCTTCCCATGGCCGGGGCTGGGAGCGGCTGCGGCGGCAGCTGCGATGCCGAGTTGACAAAGGCGAACAACGAAAAGGGTTCAGGGTTCAGGGTTCAGGGTTCAGGGTTCAGGGTTCAGGGTTCAGGGTTCAGGGTTTAGGGTTTAGGGTTTAGGGTTTAGGGTTTAGGGTTTAGGGTTTAGGAGCTAAAGGGGGTTAGGGAGTTCAGGTGTCTTTTGCTGCGGGTCCGGGCATACAGGGTGATCTGCCACAAGGTGAAGGGTGCCAGGGTTTAAGGTACTGCTGCTGCTCCTTGTTTGTTGTGTTCTGAGCTGCCAAGATCAAGCACTGAAGACTGGAAGGACTGCCATTGTTGCCGACCCTAGTTGCCCTTGTGAAGGACAATGGCCTGGCATCGCGGCATGTGCCATCATTGGAGGCATGCGTATACAAAGCATCGAAGGGTTTGCGACTTCTGAGTCTCAACATCCTTGCGATGCTTCACGTTGGCCCCGTGTTCCAGCGGCAAGTGTAGGTCAACTCCAGCTAATCGAAGAGACTGGCTACGTGACACTCTCAGAGCTGCGCAGGTCGTGTGGTGCAACATGTCGGAAGTGTAATCCAAGATCCCGATTCACGCTGACTGTGGTGGAAGTCTCACACTGCGAGGCTGATGTGGAGGCAAAGATCCCCATGAACCGCAAGTCAATCGTCAGGGCACCGTGCTCAGCAACGCACATGCTGAGAATCAGGGCATGCACTTTGACTCATGCTGATGATCTCCCAATCAGCAGTGTCCCCACTGGCCAGCTGCGCTTGCTCTAGCGCAACTTGCAAATGGTAGACTATGAGGCAGCATACGCGTGCCTGGCATCTCCTTATGAACGTCCCTTGGGAACTGCAGATGAAAAAAACACCTGAACCATCCCAACCAACCTAGTCATAGCCAAGCAACCCATAAGAGGAGGGTAGCGAACGCATACAGCCAAGTCAGTAGGTGCACGTAATTTGCAGCAGCAGCAGCAGCAGCAGTGCTCATGGCTGCGATGCTGCAGGCCGAGGCAGATCGATCTCGTACTGAGCCCGTCGCCACAGAGCCCGTCGCCACAGAGCCCGTCACTGGCTACCGGGATGTGGATGAGATGCGCCGGCTCCTGCAGCAGCGGCAGGCGCCGCAGCCCCGGGTGCCGCAGCCCCGGGTGGCTGCGCCCCGGGCGGCGCAGCAGGCGCGAGAGCCAGTAGAACTGCCGCCCGCGACCGCACCCGAGCTGCAGGAGCAGTTCGTACGCTTGACCCAGGAGAAGCGAGAACTCAAGGACTATGCCGAGCGTGTGACCCGCGAGCTGCGACGCTACCAGCAGAGCCGACCCCCGCCAGAGGCCGGGCCTGAGGATGAGCTGCCGCTTCCACCCTGGGCCACGAACATGCAGATGATGTCGCCCCTCCTCTTTTCATACGAAGAGCGGATCTCCGAGCTGGAGGCTGTCATCGAGCGGTCTGTGAGTATTGCCGAGCAGGCGCAGCTCCTCGCCCAGGAGAACGACCAGCTCCGTACAGAGCTGCAGGAACGCACCGAGCAGCTGCGCAATGTGCAGCTGCTTGGGTACGGGACAGGGGAACCTGGCCTCGTAGATGCCCAGGATCAACACGAAGAGGTCCAGGAGCTGTACCGCCTCAGTGTGGAACAGAATGAGGCGCTGGCCCAGCAAAATCAGCTGCTAAAGCTGCAGCTGGAGCGCATGCAGCAGACACTTGCAGCAGGACGGCAACAGGCCCAGGAGGTCTACGCCAAGGCTAGCGAGAACACCAGCGCCCTGGCAGAGGAAGTGCAGAGGGGTGAGGCTTTGGCCCAGCAGCGGGCCATCGCCGAGCAGCGCTTGGACGAGGTGACCTCAGAGCTGGTGGATCAGGCGGCTCGACGGGATGCCTTGGAGGCAGAGATGGAGTCTTGGCAGCCCAGTGGTACCCTGTACCCCTTCTTTTGGTTTATTGGCTCCCTTATAAAAAAAAAAAAACCACCCCAGAAAGGGTGCCCTTTATCATAATATGGCTACTGGGCTACCAAGGAGTCCTTGAGGCACGAGCTTGAGGTGCAGAGGCAGACAAACGAAATCAACCAGAAGTCCTTTCAGGAGCGATGTGCCTTGGCGCTTGACGAGGAGGAGCGGCTCAAGGCCGACCTTGCCCGAACGCAGAAGCGCGAGGGCGAGTATCGGCGCCAGGCGCTGGAAGCCCGGAATGGGCTGGACGAGAGGGCAGAGGAGCTTCACCTGATCCGGAAGGACCTCAAAGCTACATTTGCGTTTTAGCCGGAGTATTTGTTTAAGATCCTCTAAGATGAGCAAGCCTTTTTTTGCCGAGAGAGCTGTTTGCTGCTCCCACATTCTGACTCGGAAGGAGCTCGAAGCCACCAAGCAAGAGGCTCAGCAGCTGCTGCAGACTGCCGACACGATGGATCGGCAGCTGATAGACATCCGTCAAGCGCATGAGGACAGCACATGGGGGTTTCCGAAAAGAGGGGTACCCTTTTGCCGGGGGATTGAAATCTATTTCGGGGAAATAAGGGGTACCCCCATGTTGGGAAATACCATGTTGGGAAATACCCACATGGCAGTGCTCGTGCATTCAGTTGCGTTAGCCGTCTTGGTGAGGTCTTTAGAAGGGTCGCAGCGTCGCGTGGGGGGTTGTGGTCGTCGCTGAGCCACCTACTTCTCCGTTCTCCGATGCTTCTGAGGACAAGGCGGCTCAGCTCAAGGACCGCGAGGCCCGGCTGATGGAGCTCCAGATTGAGAAGGACCGCCTCAAGAGCACGGAAGAGGCCACGAAAAAGCAGGCAGAGCGCTTGGAGGCCCGCCTGAAGGAGGAGATTGGCACCCTGAAGCGTGAGAAGGAGCAAGAGCTTCAGACCCTTAAGAGCTCCCAGCAGAAGGCCCTTGAGGACCTACGCAGGAAGCTCCGGAGCAGCGAGCAGGCCTCCTCCGAAGCCACCGCCAAGGCCGAGCGCCTTGAGAAGCAGCAAGAGTGGCAGGCCTCAGCCTTAGAAAGACAGAGCTCTGCTTACAAGGAAGAGCACCTCAGTAGGGGAATTGGAACAATTTTCTATGTACTTTTCCCTTAGTCCCTTAAGTTGCGTTTAAGAGGATCATATTTTATAGGAGTATTTTTCAGAGGGTCTGAAGTCGTAAGGGCCATCCAAGGCACGAGAAGCTGCAAGGTGACTACCAGGAGTGCCAGCAGGCGCGACGGCGCCTCGAGCAGCAGCTGGTAGAAGTCAACCAGCAGCTTGCAAAGTTCCGGAACAGCATCTAGGTCAGGCCCTTGGGACATTTTCTCTATATTTTCCCTTAAACAATTAGGGTTTAAGAGGATCCTATTCTATATGTTTCCTTTATTGGGTTTAGGAGGATCATAGTTTCTAGGAATATTTTTCAAGAGGGTTTTAAGGGCCATCCTAGGCATGGACTCGGCCGCCGTTGATGCGAAGGAGCAGCTTGCAAGGGCAGCCGCGGAGCAGGCCACGATATCCCCCTTGGGAATTAGTTTTTCATTTTTTATATATAAAGCCCAAGAGGACATTGATTGACAATATTATCTTTATTATTATTATGACAATTATTACTATTGTCATTTTTATTAAGGTTCTAAGGGGAGTATGGAGGCCAGTCTTCAGTCCCAGCTCCAAGCTGCCGAACAGCGGCTGACAAGCGTGCAGCAGGATCTGCAGGCGACGTCTGCAAGAGCTTTGGCTGCAGAGGAAGGCCTCTCAAAAGTGCAGCTCGAGCTGCAGGAATCGCGCCTCAAAGCCAACAGCGAGGTGGAGGCCACAAAGCGGCAAGCGGAGGCCGACTACCGGCGCCTCACGCGACAAATGAAGGCCCTGCAGTCGAGAGCCCAAGACGAGGAGCAACGCGCATCGCAACTTCTCCGAGCGCAAGAAGCGTTGAGATTGCAGTGGCAGTCCGAGCTTGGCATGGAGCGTGAAGAGTTGGAGTCCCAGGTGGAGAGACTGCGACGAGAAAATGCTGCCATCCGCGTCAGGGTGCGAGACGGCTTCCAGACTCTCGTCACCGTTCCTGAATTAGTTGCCCGCTCACGCTGAGCCAAACGCCAATCGCAGCAAGACAAGCAAAAAGGAGATCTTAAGACGACGCTCTGGCTGGTTCCTTTTTTTGGCGCACCTGTGAGCTCTGCATTTTCTTGCGAGGCACTGCTTACCCGAAATCATCCATGACTGTGTCTCCTAAACCCTAAACCCTAAACTCCAAACCCAGATCTATTCGATGTCGAAGTGCATCGTGGCCGCCGCCGTCTTGCAGCTGGTGGAGGAGCGGATTTCATGGATTTCATGCCTGATGCCCGTGCGATGAGTTGTGTTGGCGAGACTGCGGTCTGCGTCGTCTGGTTTGGAAAAAAAACGAATGCCATCGTAAAGAACGGTTCTGCTCGAGTTGTTTGTACAGGAGGGGCACCTGAACCTGGATGATGAGCTGGCCAAGCACATCCCAGCTTTCAAGAATCCCAAGGTGCCAGGACATGTGGGAGGATCACACGCTGTGTTGATGAGACTCAATGTTGACAGAGCTGACAAAGCTAAACCCTAAACCCTAACCCTAAACCCTAAACCCTAAACCCTAAACCCTAAACCGCCAAGCGGCCTAGTATGGTACGGAGGGCGCGTGTCCTGGTGGCAGGTTCTTGCGGAACGGCCTGACGGCATGCAACGGCCTTGACTCCCCGGTCATGCCAAGGCATTGAGAGCATGCTCCTCTTGGCTTTGGCTCACGCGAGGGTTTAGGGTTTAGGGTTTAGGGTTTAGGGTTTGGGGTTTAGGGTTTGGGGTTTAGGGTTTAGGGTTTAGGGTTTAGGGTTTAGGGCTGCCGGCTCTTGCAACAGAAGCGTATGCTGTCACTAAGGCCGGACTTCGGCAGGCAAGCAGCTTGCAATGTGAACGGTTCAGGGTTTAGGGTTTAGGGTTTAGGGTTTAGGGTTTAGGGTTTAGGGTTTAGGGTTTAGGGTTTAGAGTACAAGACGTCGGCATCAGACATGCCTGGCAGCAGGCTTGTGCCAAGTAGACGGCCCATCACCATCCGACACCTGCACGATCCCAAGACAAGATAGTCACAGCACATTCAGCAAGACATCCCAGGCAGATGTTGCCCAAGGTTGACCCACACCTCTGGGATTTCCTGCGGACTGGCGCCGGTGCTTGACGGCCCCAGGGTCAGGACTCACACGCAATGACAAGCACCCTCAACCCCAAACAGCCCTGAGCACGTTGGCTCCCTGCAATGTGGGCCCAGGAGCGCTCGTGAACGCGCTTGGGCACCGAGCTTAGCCAAGAGAAGCCGCTTCCTCGAACAACAGAATCATATATCAGTATGATTCAGTATGTGTCATAGGCGAGCTCATCTGAAGCATTCTTAAACCAGGCACCCTAAACCCTAAACCTTAAAGCACCTGGCTGTGCAGTGCAGGGTACGCGACCGGCGGAATGCACCTCCGAGCTCTGTGCCTCAGGCCAACATCTATGCGCCGCTGGTAGATCGCAGCCGCCTCAGGATGATCGCATCTGCAGGGTTTAGGGTTTAGGGTTTAGGGTTTACGGATTAGGGTTTAGGGTTTAGGGTTTAGGGTTTAGGGTTAGTTGGTGTATACCCACCGCAGCGGAAGGGTTCCCATTTCCTTTTTGTGTTCCGCAAAAGGGTTCATGAGTGTCATGGCCAGGGAGCCACCCTTGGGGTGCTCTTGCAACTCCGACCCTTTTAGTTGTTCTCAGTTTAGGGTTTAGGGTTTAGGGTTTAGGGTTTAGGGTTTAGGGCGAGTCGGGCGCATCTGCGGGGAGAATCTCCCACACAGCATAGTGTATGTATCCATGGTGTATGGTCTCGGGCCCTGGGGCCCTACCTTCCCCCTGGTATACCCCCCACCCCCTTCATGGTAAAGAGCACCCTCCCTTTAACCAAGTCTTTTGCGAACATGAATTTTCGCGCAGCCGCCCCCCCTCCCCCTAACTTTGTGTGGAAAGACACCCACGCGCCCCTCCCTCTTGACCTTCCTCTTCATTGTTTTTGGTCCGCCTGTGATACTAGTAGATGGTTGCCTGTCGCTTCAGGGCATAACATGTTCCACACCGCACGGGGGGCGCGGATTGAAATCTAATCAAAAACATGGCCTGCCAAGGAAGTAAAGGGAGGAGGCACAGCATGTTCCACACCGCAGAGGGGGAGGGGGGCCGGTTGAACTCTAACCAAACACATGGGCTGAAGAGAAAGCGTTTCGGGGGGGGGGGGGGGGGGGATAGCATGGCGGATGGGGCACAACATACTCCACACCACAGGGGCGGGGGGGGGGGGGGGGGGAATCTAACCAATAACATGGGCTGAAGGGAGGGGTGGAGGGGAGGGGGGGTGCGGCAGCTCTGCACCACATATGTACAAAAGTACATTGAGGGATGATGAAAACCCCCGATATTGAAAAGTAAAGAGAAGCGCCCCGAGATGATGATTAGATGTGCGTTTTACTCGATAAAACGATTAGAGTGAAAAAGAACGATAACGTTCAGAATAATGCTTAAACTCGAGAAAACGGTAAGAGTAAACAAGAGCGATAACGTAATTCAGGCATATCTTCCGGGATAGGGGGTTTTCACGCATCCTCATATGCAGATTTGTTCATATGTATGTGTATGGGTGCGTATGTATATATACATATACATATGTATATACATATGTACATATGTATGTATGCCCTACGTGTTGTCTGCATATGTCCGTGCACGTGTTGTGTGCGTGTGTATGTATGTATGTACGTACGTACGTATGTATGTATGTATGTATGTGTATGTGCGTAGGTACGAACGTGGCACTTGACCCTGAACCCCTCCAACCTAACCCTAACCCCTCAACCCTGAACCCTAAACCCTGAACCCTAAACCCTAAACTCCGAACCTTGGGATGCCTTTTGGGTCGTTCTTCCGGATCTCCCAAGTGACTCAAAATGGTGAGACCGAGCCTCGAGGTCCCGACATCGTCACGGCTTATGTCGGGTTTCTTGTCATGTTTCTTTACATGGTGTACATTCTCTCAGAGATTTTGTACATCTATATATATATATACACATTTATTTATTTATTTGTATTTCTGTCTATATTCATATTTGTCTTTATTTGTTTGTTTATATGTTTACATGTTTGTATGCATTCCGGATCGTGGCATCCACATCCATCAGCCTTGAATGCCTGGTGGCAGGTCGACATAGTGCTGATGTTAGGCTTCCACGTCCCCCCAAGATGTCAGAGCATGCGCTCACCCCGAGGTGTGGACAACAACGAGTTCAAGAGTTTGGCGGATTGGGCACCTGTGCGGCAGATCTACTGCGGTGCAACGCATGTGCGAAATCGTTGCATGCTGCAGATGAGGTGCAGGAGCTGGCCACCATCCCACTCGTTAGTCATCCAGGCCAAGCGCGGGGAATGCCGACTGAACAGTGAAGACGTGTTGTGCTTGATGTCAGCTGCAGTATGCATAAAGCCGGTGCAGCATGCCAAGACTAATTGAAGCACCGGCCAATGTGGTAAAGAACAGAATCCGAACGAAAAGAAGGTCCAACGATAGATGTGCAAGGAATACTAGGGTGAAGGCGTCAAATGCAATCGACGATGAGCGTCAAGACCACGAAACCGGTGAGTGAACCTCCCATGGCAGCAGAAGAGGCACTGCACAGTGCAGGGGCGGCGGGGATCCTACTCGCTCCCCTCGGGCAGGGCCCCTGCGCAGAGGTGCTTGTTCTGCTAGCTGCGAGCGAAATATGGAGAAGGAGGCTGGTAAGGTGGAGGCCAGTCCATTCGAGCGGAGGGTCGAGGACGCATTGCACAAGCACCTCCAATATCCAATATGGAATGTGGGGGTGGTGGAGGTGGATGTTGGGGTGGGTTGGGCGGTTGGGGGATGGGGGTGGGCGGTTGGGGGATGGGAGTAGTCGGAGTAGCCTGGTGCGAAATGCCACGAGTTTACCGTTGCTAAAGCAAAAACAACAGAAACCCTAAACCCTAAACCCTAGGAATCTACAAACTTCCAGGCCAGCACTATGGTTATGGCTACAGCCAGATCCTCAGGTGACGGGGGTCGGGGCCAGGACAAGGAAAATCTAACATGGCATGTGCTATCTGCCATCTGCCCAGTGAGGGCAAGAGAACTGGCAGAGTGCTCCGAAAGAGGCTACGACGTGCTCGGGCACCTGATCGAGCTGAAGTCAGGCTCGGGAACTCACAACTGTCCGAAAACATGTACAACATGCCTCTCACAAGGCCAGCAACTGGAGGCCTACCTCTGTGACCATATCTTGAGGCCCTTGGGAATGAGTACCTTGGCCATATGGACAGATTGCCTGCTTCGGTCAGCAGCCTTGCAGCGATGGTATGAAGTGGTGTTGGGCCCTAAACCCTGAACCCTGAACCCTAAACCCTAAACCCTAAACCCTAAACCCTAAACCCTAAACCCTAAACCCTAAACCCTAAACCCTAAACCCTAAACCCTAAACCCTAACCCTAAACCCTCAAAGGCGACACCAGCTTCAGCTTGCGGGCAGCTTCCAAAACTCGGAGGCTGAGCGTTCTGTACAGGTGCCCGGCGGGGACTGCTGGCCTTGATTGGAGCCGACTTGAAGGTTCATTTGGGTAGCTAGAAGTAGGGTTATAAGTACCCTTCATAAGGTGATAAGTATAGATGTCCCTCTGATAACTACATATAACTACCCATGAACCTCCAAGTAGTGGGTTTCCACCCTTTCGCTCCAGCGCCAGGTACACGAAGTCTTCGCTCTGGGGCGGCACTGGGAAGAACTTCCGGTTGGTCCGCGTGGACCCTCCAAAGCAAGGTGCAACAAGCCTTCCCATCGACCTCATCCACTGCCATCAGATTTTCTTGCAAGCTAAACCCTAAACCATAAACCCTAAACCTACCCGTGACATGAGGTGCAAAGAGTCGCTGGCTGGGCCGTTGTCGCCTACCCTCCGCCGGTGGAGGCAGCGATGCCACGGGCACGCTTCGGGGACACTGGGAACAGCACCACTTGGAGCCTTCGGGGTACTTAGTAGCTCATGATAAGTGCAGTTCTGACCCACATACAAGCCCCTTAAGTACCCTCAAAGGGTTATAATTGGCTTGCAGGTATAATTGGGGAATTGTAAACGCTTGCGCGCGCCGCCTCGGCAGCCGGGCCGGCCCAGAGCGAAGACTTCAGTGGAGATGACGTTCTTTGGGGGGTCTCAGGGGACCCAGCGGGGGAAAGAAGGGGCAAAATTTCGCACGGAAGGAAGGGTTGGGTAAGGGGGCAGGAGACCAGATCCCGGTCTGCTCGTTCCAAACGCTTGTGGGCAGGAAGCGGACAAAGAGGGGGAGAAGGTTTTTGGGGCAAGGCCTTTCAGGGGGGGTGGGGGGGGGGGGGGGGGGGGGGGGGGCGGGGACAGGCGGGACCCTCCACGACATCGGTTTGCAGCTGCTCCAAGCGATCGGGGGGGGGGTTCCACAGGGAGGGGGGGCGTCACAAAATTTTGCATGGCCGGTTCCGGGTCTGCTTGTTCCAGACGCTTCTCGGCAGGAGCCGAGGCGAACTAAGTACCCTGAACCTCCAAGCAGGACTCTCCAGCCTGGAAGGGGGCTTGCAACATCCTCAGCTCAAGGTCAGTTTTTGGCACAACGGTCGGCTTGCGTACAGCTGAGAGCATCTGAGAGCTGAGGTTAAGCACACTGGACGACTATGCCGCTTCACTCAAGATGCAATCTTGCCCTTTTGGTCCTCTGCGCTCGTTCAGTCACTCTAGACACTGGCGCCGTTCAAAGGCTAAGTTCCTGCTGGCTGTCGTCAACGGTGGGCAACATCCCATCTCGGGTGCTCGGCTCTCAGTCGATGCTGGTTTCACCCATGCTGCTGAATTGGCAAGCTAGAGCACGATGCAATGTGGGTAATTCTGTTCATCAGGGTACTGCAGATACTGCACCCTTGTAGTAAGGATGAAAAGAGGGAGCCGGATTTAGAGTACAGCTACATCGGGCTCAAGGCTAGCAAGTAGCTCTCCCACTCGATTCTGTGGGTGACTTTCACAGTGAGAGCGTTACACGTAGCGTCTTCTCTTGTTGTGCTTTCGTCTGAAGACTGAAAGACACAAGAATGGGATGGGGCCTTGAGGGCTGAGGTGCAGGTCTTAGGCCTCGGGCTCTGGCATGCTGGGACTGAGGGCATTTCTCTTGCTTTGCCATAGCGCCGACTGCAGAAAAGTTCGAAACTCGCTCGGCCGTCGCCGCAGGTTGGCCTTAGACAACCGCCTCCATGACATAAAGGCTGCTCCAAAAGACCCCCGATCTTGCATGCCCTTCTCCGGCAAGCTCTGGAAGCTCAGCTTAGAAGCCGAAGGCTGCACCCCACGACTTAAGGTACGTGTCCTCAGCAAAGCAGCCGCTGATTTGATGATGACGGCTGCACGGACGCATTTGAAGTTCGGAAGTTGAGTGCTGTTAAAGTTGAGGCTCCGGCAGCTCCGGCATAGCCACCACCGGGCACACTATCCGATAAGTGTTGGGCCCGCTTTAGTCGGGGGGGCCCTCTGCAAACACATACTCACATATTGGCCGGGCTATTCAGGAGCTCGCCACTGTTTGGAAAGTGTTACCTTCATTGCCGTGCCTCTCTCCGGGGGAGTGGCTCTTGTTGAAATTTCAACCCTAAATCCTAAACCCTAAACCCTTAACCCTAAAACCGGCTTTCGGTCCGAGGACCTCATGGACCAGCTTCGCTCACCGAGCGGCCGCGGTCCCCCAAGCAGTGCCTGGCCCCAGAGCACGCGCACATGTTCCCTCGCTTGGGTACTTCCATTGCGCTCCAGGTGCTCGGCCTTACGACAGCCCTGGGCTTGGGCTCAGCTGCATTGGTGAAGTGCAGCGCAGCAGGCTCAGCCGACGTGCAACAGAAGCCGGCAAATCCCCAAACAGTGCGACAACACTATTGGAGCTCGACGCTCTTTCGCTCACGGAGTTCAAAGCCCAAGTTGCCGTATGTCACATCACCAGCGTTGAGAGTAACTTAGGCGGATTAGGTTGCTGCGTGGTGCCGTGCCCGAGCAGAGCGGCCTGACGCGTCGCTCTCGCGTACACAGCTGGCTCGTTTTGGATCAAAATTGCGATTCTCATGTGCTTGCCCACGAGTTTGGGAGGTTCGGGCATTTCATCGTAATATGCATGGTTTTGGGGTCGTCGGACGTGACGCGCCGCGCTCTCGCCTATGTCCCGTGCACGGTCCGTGCTCCAAATCGCGCTCCAGCCTCGTTCGCTTTCTCGCCCTTCAATCGCTTGGTGTCGCGACAGCTTGGAGGGACGTACTTTCCTGCGTCCTGCGCTTGTGGACGGATCCGCGTGCATCCGTTCCAGGGGGATGTTCATTTCGCGAACCGTCGTTGCTTGCTTTTGAGCCGTGGATCATGCTTCTGTCAGTGACAGCTGCAACGTGCCGTCGTTGTGGTCGTGGTCTTTCACTGCCTGGGGTCCATAATTTTGTTCCAGAGTTTGTGCTTCAAGCCTCAATGGTTCCACAACGCCGTTAAAAAGCATTGTGCCTTGAAGCGGAGGTCGGGGTGCGCCCAAGGACCAATGGTGCGGCTGCCAGATGTTGAGCACATGTCGCATTGCATCACAGATGTCTCTCGCGATAACTAGACCCTGGAGAGTTGGAGAGTTGGAAGGCATCTGAAAAAACACCAAAAGCTCCACTGAAGCAAAGGTTTGATGGTGTCGAGGGAGTCCGACAGTGGGGTGGTGCGGCAAGCTGCGCGCAAGCATCTCAGGAACAAGTTGTTGCTTTTATGCCTTTGCTTTCATTTTAGCACTACGCGACCCACCTCGGCCGGGGCCTGCACAGCTGCAAGGCGCTTGCTGTCGAGAGGACATGCAGTTCATGCGCACACTTGACGCCAGAGGGGGGGGAGCGGGGACATATCTCGTCCAAGTAAGTACACCATGGCGAAAGTGTGTCTGAAGCTTGAGCCCTGAAACCATGGAGGTAACGAGTGGACGCGGAATACATGCAGGACAGCGCAAGCAAGAAGAGGAAGTAGTTGGAAGGGACCCACACCACGGAGAAATCAAGGAAAACATGAAGAGGAAAGCGGGTGGGGTTGGCGATGGGCAGACAAAAAAGTTTCAAATGAAGGGCTGCATGGGCGAGGGTAAGAGGTGGGGTGCCTGCTTCGTGCTACCCAGACAACTACGGCCCGAGGCCTCGGCGGATTGCACACAGGTTCCATTGTTGCATGATGATTCATGCCGACTACAGCTGCATCAGTTGCATGAATAAGGTTCAAGTACGACCCCAATAATGGGCGCCCAATCCTGGCAATGCTTGTGACACAGGTGGGGCTTGATCGTTAGAGCATGATCCTCTTCCTTGAGATTCTCACATGAGCTCATACCTTGCTGGCCTGTGAACGCCATTGCAGAATTTGCGAAAGCAAGGTTTTTTCACCTGCACAAAACTTCGCAGAGTAGTGGCTGGTTTGCGGGGCCAGGCACTTCCCCAGGACGACGGGGCCACAATCACCAAGTTTCTCAGGGGCATCCGCCAGGTGGCATTGTTTCAGTGAATCAGGTGCATTTTGCTTGCATCTGTGTGCTTGGGTACATTGAAGCGAGAGTCCCACCCTAAACCCTAAACCCTAAACTCAAGGCCTAGGCCGCCCCCTGCAGTTGGGGGGGCGGCGCCTAAGCCCCTCGACCTGGATGGCGCAAGTCGACCCAGCTCGTTCGACCCCCCCCCCCCCCACAGCTCGGAGGTCGGTGGCACCCACGATGGGCCCGGTACCGGATGGGCCTGGGCAGTATGAGTAGGGTGATAAGTGGGGTCAACCCTAAACCCTAAACCCAAAGCAGCTGCAGGTGATCAAGGAGGAGTCTGTCTGAGACCGCCTGGCAGGGGGGGGGGAAGAGGGGGGATCATGCACTTCCACTTGGAATCGCAGTCGCTGTGTCACTTAGGGGTTGGGTAGTTGACCTTTTACCCTTTTTGGACATATATATATATATATATATATTATATGTAATGTTTGGGCTATGGTATTCCCTAAGGAGTCATGAGCTCATTGAAATGATTGAAATGTGAGGGACTGAGAAGCTACAGAGGACACGCGAAACGTGCCCCACATTGAAGCAATGAAGTGACTGCTGCGAGCATCCAATTCGCAAGCACATGCGCAGATCGGGGCCGCGGTTAGTCGGAAACAGGAGCTGCATCGAGCTGTGAAGATCAAAGAGGTGGAAGAAGGTTATAGGCCTCCTGCAGAATGGCATTTCCGAAAATAGGGGTACCCCTTGTATACCCCAAAATACTGCCAATCCTTTTGAAAGAACCCCAAGATAGGCACCCACTATTTTCTGAGACCCCCCATGTAGCATGCTGTCGGCTTCCTCATGTCGCGACCGTGAAAGCAGGGTGGATGACCCGAGCTCGCGGACGGGCAACGTTCTCCCCAAATCCGACACGGGAATCTTGAGCTCCTGGCCTCTAGGTGGTCTAAACATCGCAGTTCATACCGCATGGGCCAGCACTAACATACATGCACTTGGCAGTTGGTAACAGCCTGGTGTCCATGTGCTGGCAGAAAGTGGACCCGCCGCGTTTTGCTCATTACCAGTTGTGAGCAAACTGGCGTACATGATGATTCGACATACGTGATGATTCGACATGGTCCCCTTAGCATTGAGGCAAGAGCAGCATTCGTCACTATAAACTACGGTCCATGTAATCAGCATGTAAATTGGTGCAGACGTCTAATCTGCTTTCACAATGCAAATGGACGGAAGGCATTCTCGTCTGCCAATTCCTGAGCAGCGTGTGCCCAAAGCAAAACTCAGAAGAGAGATGGTGGGCAGCGGTGCGGAGGCTCGCCCCAAGTGGGCCCAGTCGATGAGGGAGATTTGTTTCGGGTTGTTGTTGAAGAGGTGGAGCGTAGTGGCTCGAGCACTGGCTAAGGGCTGCGGCAGCAGAGGGTCGAGGGTTCAAACGGCAAGAAAACCCACCCAAAACTGAAGACGAATCATCCTCTGCACCTTGGTCTTAATCTCGTGCATGTCAGTGCTCCATCGAATGCAGGTTACAACGGTGCCAGGCGCCACACGCTCCAGATACTGGTAGTTGAAACTTTTAGCTAGCAAACAAACGCATGTCCTGTGGAATCTAGAAGAATCCTGGTGGTCTTTCAATATGTTGTGGGTATCATCTCAAAAACCAAGCTCATGAAATCAAATCGCACCTGCAGCCCTCTCGTCGGCTGATGATCTTCATGCGGTACTTGGCATTTTGGAGTGCTTTGTCTAGGAGTCTGCGTCTTTCGGATTTACGACCTAAAGGGTTATCTTGGCACCTTAATAATCACGAGAATGTCAATAGTATGTCAATGCAACGCGCATTGCCTTCAGGCCGTCCCTGATGCTCAAGCCTCGAAGCGGCATTATTACAGTCCTGACAGCTCGCTTTGTAGGACTCCACTGCGTTGATTGCGGTTTTTTACACGTTTTGCAAGCTGTGTGGATGAGTTGAGGTGACGAAGCGCTTTGAGCAATTCAAGCCTGGATCATACAGCCTCTTGCTTTCTGTACTTGAATCACGCCTTGGCCTGCTTCGGACATGGACTTCTGAAGTGCTTCCGTGCCTCCACCGTCAGGCCACAATGCATTGTCCGCAAAGAAGTCAGGACAAAAAGCAAAGAATTGGTCCTTGCACAGGACATGACAGGACTGACACAAGGCGTATCTGAGCACTGTCTACTAACGGTCCAACCAGCCCTTCACGGCAAAAGTTCCAAGGCCCTGCAAGACCCATGGGGCATTTATTTGGGCAGTTCTTCATTGCTGGTCGACCGTGGCTGCTTGCGGAGCAGACTCGGATTTTTAAAGAGAGTACCTCCCAGCCTGACACATAAAGTGACACGGTCACACCGTGATGCACTCCAAGAGCTGGGGTGCTTCAGTTCAGAGACGCGACGCCTGGTGCTCCACGTTGCCATGGCCCAAGTCGCTAAAGTGGCCAAACTGTTCGGCGAAGTGTTCACCAAGTCATCAGGGCCCCTCACGATCCGCTTCGCAGCTCGCCGTTCGCCGGGGCTAAATTGGAGCTGAAAACCCAGAAAACCCAAAAACGCATGAACTGTTGCCTAAAGAATCCAGCTTTGCTTTGGCAAAGTCTTGGTGTCTCGACCACAAGATCTTGTCATGGTCATGCAGTCATTCATGGCCTTGCCTTGAGCGTGTATTTTTCCCGATGCTGCCAAAGTGCACCACATCATGCCTAAGCGCCCGAATTGCTGCTTCAGTTCCTGAGATCTCCCCTGCGCGCGACACTTCTGTTTTTTTCTGCCCCGCGTCGCCTGCCGTTGCCTTGGATGCAGCAGATGTTGCCATGGTGCTTCCTTTGGCCGCCGCCCCACAGGCCCGCAGGCAAAAAATTCCCCCGTGTAAGCCACACTTACGACAGCTCCGCGCCGCGTGCTTCGTCCCAAGCCCAGCTTCAAGCTACTCAGAGTATTGGGACGTCGCCTTGCAGGCTGCGGCCTGCTGTACGCTAAACCCGTGTCAGCTTTCGAGGGTCCTCCCCGTTCTTGGCACCTTGCGGCTCATTCAGTTCGCGACAGCACTTCTGGCGGCTGTGTTTCCCGATTGCCTTGACTCGGACCACAAGATCTTGTCATGGTCATGCAGTCATTCATGGCCTTGCCTTGACCGTGGTTCTTGTCCCGATGCTGCAGAGGTGCACTGCGTCATGCCTAAGCGCCCGCATTGCTGCTTCAGTTCCTGAGATCTCCCCTGCCCACGCCGCTTCTGCTTTGTTGTCCTGCCTCGTGTCGCCTGCCGGGGCCTTGGAAGGAACAGATGTTGCCATGGTCCTACCTTCACTCTTCTTGCCCTGTCGTGGACTCCTTCGGTCCTTCTCTGGCAAGCCGGCAAGCCATGGCACTTCAATCCCTCTCGACTTTGAGAAGCTCCACTGCCCGTGCTAGCACTCGCTCGGACACCGACTCTCAAATTCTCTGAAAATTCCGATTCCTGAGACTTGTCTGATGGTTCCAGAGCAGTGGGCGCTGCCTGGAAATCCTGCTTTGCCTAGTCGCGCGTGCCGCACTTCTTGCGAGCTCAGCTTCGCTTCATCCCTGCTCCCAGATGTGACCCGCACCGCGAGCAGTTGTCATTGTAATGTCCTTCCATTTGGAGAGGTAAGAGAGCCATGCGGACTCTCTTGACGACTCAGGCAAGCCATGGCGCTTCAATCCCTCTAGCTGCTGAGCAGCACCTGTAGGAGCTGCACTGCCCTGCTGAGCCAAAGCGGCCGGAGGATGGTAGAGAGTTCCCCTGCTTACTTAGTCAGTCGATGTCAGTCGTGCGGTCATGCAGACATTCACGGGCTTGCCTTGACCGTGTTCTTTTCGCGATGCTGCAAACGTGCACCACATCATGCCTAAGCGCCCGAACTGCTGCTTCACCCTAAACCCTAAACCAGGCCCAAGTGGATGTGGAAGACCACGCGAGCATCGTGCCCTTGATGCAAGGAGCCCTGTCTGCAAGGAAGTCATGGCTACACACCCTAGAACAGTGCCTACAAATCATCATTGTATGCATACTAGACATCCCCACCCCAGAGCAGTACCTACAAATCATCATTATATGTAGGCTAGACACATACTAATTGGAACCTCTGGTTCTCCTACGTTCTGTGTTGTCCTTCGAGCATCGATGCTGCTGAGGCCTCTTGCAGCTGAGGAGCCAGCCCGACAGTGAGTTCATTGGGAGGGCGGACCCTGTCGCAGGCGCGACCCTTTTTTTTGGTTTTAGGCGAAGCTGTAGCATTTAGTAGGGTTTTAGGGTTTTAGGGGATGCTGTGTGGGAGACGAGGCGCCCGCAGCACGAACCCTTTCCCAATCGTCAGGTGGCTGGAGTAAGCCACTTGCAAGATGTCCAGGACAACCTGAAGAGGGTTGTACAGGACAAGCTGAAAGCGAGCAGCCATGCGGCCTCCCTTGACGACTCAGGCAAGCCATGGCGCTTCAATCCCTCTAGCTGCTGAGCAGCACCTGTAGGAGCTGCACTGCCCTGCTGAGCCAAAGCGGCCGGAGGATGGTAGAGAGTTCCCTTGCTTACGCAGTCAGTCGATGTCAATCGTGCGTGTCGCCGTTCTTGAGAGCTTCCCTAGCAGCTCCGCTTCCCTACCAGGCTAGTGACACTAGCGCAGCTCTGCCCGCAAGCTGGCTGCCGGCATAGGCTCAAATCGGACTCTGGCCCTAAGCCCCGAACCTCCTCGAAGCTACGCTTATACAGAGATGAAGTCGCGTTGCGTTGCGTGCCTTGTTTTGATTTAGTCTGCAAGGAGCGTTCCCGTCATCGATGTCCCAGACAACAAGAGCCTGGGGGAGTCCCACCAGCATTCTGAGAACCATCCCGTCCGGGACTCTTCGCCTCCAGGCCGATATTCGTTGCGCCTGGATGATGCCTTTGCGGGCCCAGCCCTGCTTTACTCGTACTTCCGTTGCTGAAGCATTGCCCTTGTGGCTCTTCATCTCCGCGTCTCTGCCCCAGCTTGGCGGCACGCACCATTTGTGTGCAAGCGCCTGTTGCGATGGAGACTTTCTCATCAGTGGTACATGTGTTGGGCACTTTGCTGCACACATCAATAGGGCCTCTCACTGGTCGACCATGCAGGATGCAGTCTGTCTAAGGAGGATTGCCAAGGCAGGCGTGTGGAGCATGGCGTGGGCAGTCCCCCCACGGCGGGAAAGTTCTATCCATGTCCCGAATGTCAGCCTCACCATTGGAAATCCCAGCGGAAGATCCGATCTGTCTGCTTGTGCCAGCCGTGTGGACTCCCCCCAACCTCTCAAGCCATGGCGTTTCATTCCCTCTACTACTTCATACCT